CGGCAAGGAGAGCGCTGGCAGCCGAGACCCCCATGCTTGCCATGCGACTGCTGTGCCGTCCCGCCACTCGCCGCCCTGCAGCCTCCAAGTTCAAAGCTGCAAGTTGGGCGTAGCTCAAAGCCGTCCAGGGCCGGTCAGCGTGCGGCCAGGCTCGCATCCTGCTGGCCAACGTCCGTGCTATAAGTGGTCGCATATCCTTAAGTCCTTGGCGACGTTCGCGACTGCCGCACGTCAGCCTTACACCACACTGCCGGTGCCGCGAAGGCCCGGGCGGGCAGCGGCGTAAGGCTGTGACGTGAACCTGCGTGTTTGAGCGCCCGCGCGAAGGACCGCACTGCGAAGTTGGTGGTGAAATTCGCGGTGACCACACGTTGCCCACGGAGCGAGTGGGCAGCTGCTCCGCGCGCTCAAGCTCTTGACGGGCGCTGGCGCCCTTGAGTTACTGGGCCATCCCCTGCACGACGGCAGCCGGCCCGACGGGCGTTGCTGCTTTGGTACAACCACCCATTCTGTGTCGGTTGGGGTCTCGAGTTGATCTGGATGCGCTGAAAGGACGTGAGGAAACGTTGGGCCCTACCCCTGTTTTGGTCACCTCTCTGGCCTGCGGCACCATCAGAATGAGTCAAGCGTAGGCTGTGAGCCTGGCGCTGTAGATTCGAGTGGCGCTGGATCGCTCGCATAGACAAGATTACGCGCAACGTATCGCATGCAGCATTGTAAGCCTCAAGAACATCGTACTGCGATGTTCGGCCCTCACTCCCAGATTGGGTATCTCTTGAGCAGCGATTCCTTGAAAACCGATTGATATGTGTACGCATCGCCGCAATGCAACCTACTTTATAAAACATATGTCAAAGGTACCCATACACTCAGTGGTAATGTGCAAATATGTACAAGTCGCACACCATAATGCACAACTGGTCCACCCAGTGAAACGATGGTCACTATGCGGTATTGCGAACAGTACGCTTAGCGTCAAATTGACGTTGAGTGGGGTGGGGTATGGGGGAGAATCCAGAACTGTGATGCTAAGAGATTACGTGACCGCCATGTAAGGAGGGAGGTCAAATCAATCAATCAGCAATCAAATCAGTCAAATCAATCAACAATCAAATCAGCATAGATTTGATTGTTTTTGCTCCCTGAAAACAACTGGAAGTTGAATACCATTGTTAGGTCATGTTGCTGTGTCATCCTGGCTTCGACATAAGGATTGATGCTAAGCGCACCAAAGTCGACATAGTGTCTTCCCTTAATTGGGATCCTCGCCTGCTCAGATACTCATTGTTATACCGTCCTGCAAGCCGTCCAGTCCTTGCAATAGCCGTGTCGAGGCCAATCCCTTTCATGTCATTTATTCACAAATGGTGGCCCATGTTGACAGGTGTACACCTGTCTCTGCCCACACGTGATGAAGCCACAAATGATACAACAAGCTGCATTCGGGTTGAGAGTGGGTTTGGTTTTGGAGGGTGTGAGAGGTGCTGGTTCTATCGCAAACTATATTCCTACCTTGCTATCAGATTATGATATCGAGCGTTTGATGAGATCCCTGCTGTCATACATGCGACTGTCACTGCCGCCACCGGGCTTGCTATTTACGTTTACAGTAGCACATCCAGGTTTACGCTTTTACTTCCAAAATCGCGTTAGTAGAGAAATGGACACGTTTCCGGCCATGTTTACGGATTCTTACAGCTTGCCGACACACCCAGGTCACATGACGATGTCCCAAACAATGACCAGTCCCATGCCCCCTGGAACAGCTGCAACACAGCGTTCACCTCATCCTCGGCAAGGAAAACAACGCAGTCGGATAAGAGTTCGTCCGTACACGCTCCAGGGCGCTTTGCTGCCACTCCCCGGACTCCTTGAGTCTGTGTGTAATGTCTTTATGCACGCGGGGCACATTCTCACCCATTTTAACGCCTATTTTAAGACCAAAAATGCAAAATGCATTTTTATACGTAAGTTGGCACAAAATGAGCGAGCATCTACGCCATAAATAACAAGCCTGGCTGCCACTACAGTGCTGCACATTTCTTGACAAACGCTCGGGTCCCGTAACGTCGGCGTTGTCTCGACTCACGATCCAAAGTTCTTCGACTCCATTTATCCCAGTCCTCGCCCTCCGGGCTTCTGTGTTCCCGGCCGCTGCACACCCCATGAGCGTTGTGCAATGTTGGTGTTCTACACTACCCCGGTCTGGAGGTGAATAGCCAATCCTTAGACAGACCCTTGTGAGTTTCCGCCCAGAATGTTGGTCTTTCTCCCTCGGCTGTCTGTCGCATAACTTTTTGTGTCTGATGGCGAGCCACGTGCTTGTGTGCGGTTTGTGCATAGACGTTGCCTGCACCTACTGCTGAGTGACAGCATTTTTCTCTACAGATTGTACCAGATTTGGTATCTGTGGTATCTTTATCAGATCAGGTACACTCGATGCTGGGTCTTGGAGGAGCTGGGCCCCTCAAACATCGAGTCTGGACAACCTTGACGTGCATGTTTTGCCTCAGTGGCTTGCACGCTGAGGGAACGTGCCTAACATTTCTCCAGGGGCCCAGGGGCCAATGGGGTAGGGTCAGGACAATTTGGCTGGGCGACATACTGGCCACTGGCCACACTGTCCGTATCTCAACCTGTCATAAGCACGGAAAAATATTGCCACTTCAGTTCGCGAGGGGGCTAATTGAGCCGGTACTGTGAGAACTTGGGCCATTTGCCTGGCGCCCTGCTCTGTTGTGTGCGAGCGAGCAACAGCGGTCCAGGAGACAAAGACTCATCCTCGGCCTGTTGACAAACGCGAGTGGGCGTGGGTATGCGAGTGGTGGGGCGTATGGGCATTCGTGTTGCCTAGAATTGAGGCTGGCACGATGGCTTGGAGATCTCCTCCATCGTTCTTGGGGCGTACTGCTTTGGCACAGGCCACAACAGCGCCATGCTTATCCACAGGTGCTGTCAGTCCCTTCGCTTTGACACAGACTGCGCAAGCTACGCCTGTTGGTCTTCGCCGGTAGTTCTAATGCATGCCAAAGGGCACTGGGCGGGCTATGTTGGCACTCCCAACACCCCAAACTCGACCCACAGCAACGTCCATTCCCACGATCCTGGCCAGCACTCGCTCCTTCAAAAAGGTGCGCAGGCCCCTGCAGCGAGCTGGTAAGGATTGAGCGCTCCGCTGCAACTTTGCGTGGCCTTCCACCCACCCACCCACCCACACACACACACACACACACACACGCGCCCCTGACAATCGCCGCATCTGCTTACCACGGCGCCAAGTGGAGGTGCGCAAGATGAAGTAGCTAGCGAGGATATCGCTATAAGGATTCCAGCTGGAATCCAACCGCAGCCGTGTATCAGGTCATCTCACTCAGGTTGCCGCTGCAACCAGCGGGTCCTTTGCCGCCGCATTGGGCCCGCGGCCAGTCCATGTTTATTGTCGCTGCCGGCTTGCTGTTGCGACCAATGACGAGGGCCGCACTTCACTGCCTCCGATGTGCATACGACACGCTGGTCAAAATGTTCTTCGGGCAAATTGTCACAGGCACAGTATACTGGGGTGCCTGACTTGTTTGCGCCGAATAGACAGTTTGAATTGATTTGCAACTGCTCGTCATTCCAGTACATGATGACCAGGTTCAAGAGCAGCCCCCATCTAAACACTATTCTGCAGCGCATGCCGCACAAATAGCCCATCTGCGTCGCACATGGCCGCATGTCAACACTCGTCCTTCATCTCTTGAGTGTAATCACGAGCCAGGTGTTGGGCTTGCAGGTCCAATGGGCCCACAGCACCCTGTGCGTGCAAATGCCCAACCAGTCCTGTGCATGTAGTAGTACCGCAAGTACTACTACCTCAAGTAGTACCGCACTTTGTTCTAAATCTTCGGGGGATAGGTGGCCGGGGGATATGCAGCCGGGGGATATGCAGCCGGGGGAGCTGTGGGCGGCGGAACGTTCTGTTGGGGCATCCCCTGCGCCACCACAGCCTGCTGTGGCCACGGAGTGAGGGGCCTGGACTTCATTTCGCGAGCCTCTTGGCACAGGGCGCATCCGTGGCACCTGCGTCGCATCAGAAGGACACCGCTGTCATGCCCAGTACAGCATTGCCAGTCCAAACAGTCTGGATTCATGACTAAAACTTCTAGAAGTGGCTTGAGACCAAGAGACACCGAAGTGCGAGGCAGGGGTGGGACGTAGGGGACCAGCAGTGGGGCTGCAATAATCAGTGTGTTGGCAGCACCACTTTCGCGTGCTCTAAACAAAATGTGCTGATGCGCTTGGACTCGCTTTGTTTATTGTTGGACAAACGCACCCTTCAGGAACAACGAATCGCTGGCAAAAAGGCCGTCGCCAAGGCAACTGGGGAAAAAAACACGAACACAATAATTGAGGCGAGACGCAAATATTCTGTGGTGGCAACTGGCTGAAGCCCCTGCTGTCGACGAACTTGCGGGCAATTCCGCTGCCATGGGCATCCGCACATGCAGCGTCAAGCCGTCCCGAATCAAAACTTGGTTGGGTACAAGGGGCCAAAAATTTCTCCCGCCCTTGCCAAGGAGGACGCAACAAATCAGCAAGGGATACGTTGCCGCGCACAAATACTGCCGAGAAATCTGAAGGAAGCAATTACAAGTTACGCTGGGAAAAAGGGTCAAATGACAGGTGCTCGAACGTGTCCAAAATTTTACGGGTTTGGGTGATTTTGGTGTTCTAAGCACACAGAACATTGACAAATGCTATTTGGCCATATGCTATTTGGTCCCTTTTTTGCTAGTGTTAGTGCAATGCAATTAATGCAATAATCAATGCAAACCAGCCCCTTTGCCATGATTCGTTCAATGCTATTATTAAACGCACTGTATGTTCTTAAGATTGAAATGGAAACATATCAAAGGCTATGGTTTCACAACAGCGCAGTATTGCGTGTGAATGCCACTATTCTTGCAGCAGAAATCCAGAGAATGCCCCAGCCTTCCATGCAAGGACAACCCGCATACCAGCAGTGAACGCAGCAGTCTCCGCACCCCGAATCCTAGGACATCCACACAACGAGTCCTTCAATGAATTCTGCAATACAAGGCAACTCCAGCATGCTTATGTTTTCCATATGTCTGTGTTCCCATAAAGAGCCTGGCTCATTTATAATGCTTTTGGAACCTTCAGAGCATCTTAACCCAGGGCTGTGTCCACAACGTCAGAGATGTGCTCGTGTAATTACAGCACTGCGAAAGTGATCGAAGCGCAAAGCAGCAAATCAACAGAAATGAAAAAACCCTGGCCAGTCTTGTGCTGCCATTTCCAGTTCCTTTTTTTCAGGGCCAAATTTCTCCATGTGGTGCGCAGGCACACATGAAAGCGACGTGAACCCTCAACAGCAAAGGACAGAAAAGTTGTTGCTTGACCAATCCTGCCAAATTTGTCAATTCTGTAAGTTCAAGAGTGGGGTGAACTCTGGGGTGACAAAGATGTTGGGGGCAAAAAAACAGCAATGGCAACTGCAGATGCCGAAGGCATGGTCATGTCACACAACATTTGTCTTCACTTTGTAGGAAATGTTGACAACTACCATCATTTATTTTTCCCTCCAATGATATGACACTGCAAAAAGAGATACATCAGTGCTCAACGAAAATTCGTTCAGTATCATACTGCAAAGCTCTAAACAGTTATGTCAGAAGAAGCTCCCTAAACTAGACAAGGAAGCACCTTATCATCACCTGTATCCTCAACATAGGATACACATCCTGGATATGCCCATCCAAGATGTGGCCATATCCTCAATATGCATGTCCATGGTCTGCAAGTATTTCGACAGTATTCAACATCCACCACTGTGTCTATATTCTGACACATTCAAACAACATGCTGTCATTGCTGCTGCACAGTGGCCACAGTTGTGTGTAAGCTGCATCACAGTTGAACATGCAGCTACGTTGTTGGTTCTGCTACTTGGATCTATATAGCCATGCAATTACCAAGGATGCATTCCCTGTGGATTTGTTATCTCCACACATCACACGTCATCTGCTGTTTTAGAGCCCATTCTTAAGAGCTATTTTGAATTTGGAACTTGTGCTTCACTCATCACACAGCAGGTTTTCTTGGGCACTTCGTTGCCCAGCACTGTCACGAGGTTACCAATGAGCAGCATCTCTTGTGCTATAGCACAAGTCACATCCAACAGCTTACACAGCAAAAATTCTGGATGTCACGGGGGTTGGTGTACATTTTTGAGGAAGAGAAGCCCTCTGCCCACCTGGATGCCATACTTGTTGCGGATGTCCGACCTCTGCATCATACCCAGGACGCACTGGCAACCAGTGAAGCAACAGATCGCAAAATACAGAAGAGCAGGGTCGATTGGGTCATGGTTCCTGCCGCCATGGAGAGCTGTGCACAGCACAAACACGATTAGTCACAAACTTATATTGTCAAATCTATTCAATCCATCATGGGGTTGTGATACATCACAAATTGCCCTGTCACAAGCCACCAATAGTCCCCACAAACCTCCCCACCCCACCCCCCAAAATTACATACCACAACATTTCTATTCCAAAACACTACAACGAGGCATTTTTAATTCCAGAATATCACATCAAAGAGCACAACACGGCCGCGTTGCTCAAGACGGCCTTGGCTGCACTGACGCCCACGGGGCATGGCATCTCGAACTTCCCTGCCGGCACTTCTACTTCACTCAGTGGTGCGGCCTCTGCTGAGATTGCAACGTCTTCAGCACTTTGGCCTTGGCGCCCACGGTCCACAGACCGGGCCACCACTCTAAATCTCGACAGCGCTGGAATTGGTGCGCCTTAAGTACTGTGGTCTGGGGGGCGATGACCAGCGCAGTGTGTACTTGGGGACCAAACCCGAAATCGCAACAGCCACACACAGGCCCCGGCTCAAACCCCGACACCGCTGGACCGCCCGAGAACCCGGCTAACACCCCGTCCCCTCACAGGCTCGAGTGGGCCCGCCCCCCCCCGCCCCCAGCGGCCCGACGGCACTCACCGTCGCGAATCTCCTTGTAGGTCAGGCAAGGCGCCCAGAACGTCGTGCAGCCTGCGGCCACACACACGCGCGGCGGTTAATCCCCAAGCCGCCCCCGCTCGGGACAACCTCTGCTCCCGTCCGACGCCATCGCCTCGAAAATCCCTCTCGCCAACCCCATGGGCGCCCCAAAGCAGAAGTGGCCAGCGCACCGAGGCCCACCCGGGGCCAGCAGGGGCCGCGAGGACGCTCTGAGCGAAAGCGAGGAATGAATTGAATCACACGTGCGGCCGTGGCGCTCCCGGCTGAGGACAGGTGAGGAGAAGCCCACCAACCAGCGCCGCTCGACTGCCGCTCGATGAGGCCGCGTGCTCTGGCGGGGGCCCGAGCAATCCACAGCCGTCGGCCCTTTCCATGCACCCCGCGCCCCCGCGGAAGAGCGGGGGACGAGCCAGCTCGGTGCGGGAAACATTCCGAGCGAGGCGAGGCAGGGCGTAGTTCGCGCGGGATCCGCCGGAGGCACGAGGGCGCCCGGCAGCAACGGCGATGGCCGATCGTCCAGCCGGTTTTCGGCCTGGCGAATGCCCCCTCCGGCGCATCGCTCGAGCGAGGCGAATGTCCCGCCATGAGGAGATCGGGCGCACATCGCCGCCCACGCGGCCCCACTCACAGACGCTCATGTCGGCGAAGCAGTCCAGGAGGCCGGACTTGAATGAGGACGCCATCTTGCTCCTCCTCGGGTGGGAGCCCAGTTGTGCGAACGGGCGGGTGCTGGGTGGGGTGGGGGGAGGGGCTGATCACGTCCTGCCGACTACTTATGGGCGAACAATGCGCCCACTTTTTGAGCCGCGTGGTTTTTGGTGGCTTCCGGCTGGCGGCCGTGAGAGACTTGAGAGGGGTTGGTATCGGGCGGACGGCCCGCTTGCGCAAGAACTCTGTGGAAGTGGTTGGGCGAATGGGAGGCAGTGATCCCGGGAAGCCGCCAGTTTGATGCAGCGGCCGGCCGTGCGCCTGGCGCGGTCTGGGGCGGGCAGGGACACCCAACGCGACATTGTCCGCTGATGGGAAGAGTCATGCACCGGCGGGGACGGATGTTGATTCAGGCGAAGTTCGCCTCGGGGTTCGAGCGATACTTCCCGGCGGCGCACGACGGCATGCTCGACAGCGTTGCTTCGGTGAGCAAAAGTTGACCACCAGACGTTTCGTCCTTTGCCTTGGCCGTTCGTCGCGTGCCCTGCTGTGCCAGCCGCCGAACCACGCGCGCGTGGCTTTTATCCCTTATTCCACAATATCAAATCGAATTTCGTCGCTCATTATCCGTGCACAAGGGTCGCAAGCAGCTCGTGGTCCGTGACAACATTCGTCCCAGCACCCTAAGGGCGGCGCCTGCAAGCGCTGGGATTCTCAACAGACAGGGCTGGACAAGCCTGGGATGCGCGAGCTGCAGTAGCGGTGTGACGTTTGGGAACGTACCGAATGCTTTACCCCTTGTAGTAGCCAGTGGAATTGGGCCCCTGGCGGGCCCCAAATGGACGACTCGAGTGAGCTTAAATTGATTCCCGGTCATTCCTGTCCATGATGGCCAAGTTCACGAGCAGCCCCATCGGAGACCCCATTCAGCGAGTACACGCTGCACATCAATCTCATCCGCATCACACCCACCCACGCTTTGCGCTTCATCTGCCGAGTCTTTTACCGGATCGGGTATTTGCATTCAAGTCTTGGCCCACAACTCCCTGTTCATGCAAATGCCCCACAGGTCGAGTGCTCAAGTTGCACTGCACTGCGTTCTAGATCTTCGGGGGATCAGTGACTGGGACAGCTCCGGGCTGTTGCATTTTGTGTTGGGGCACCCCCTGCGCCACCACAGTCTGCTGTGGCCACGCAGTCAGGGGCCTCGCCTTCATCTCGCGAGCCTCTTGGCACAGGGCGCATTCATGGCACCTGCATCACAACAGAAAGGCATCGATTGCGTCACGCCCGGCAACAGCACACTGCCAGTTCGGAGAGTCTGGGTCCATACTCGCAAGGTCCACAAGTGCTTGTTGGCATAAAAAATGCAACAGGACGGGACACGAGGCCCTGTAGCTTGAATGCTGTCGCCGCATTTTGCACAGAGTCACACCACATCGCATGCTTCACGCAATATATTGCTTGCTATTATGCTCATTATTATGCGGGTAAATAATAACCCCATTATGCATTATGCTCATTATTATGCGTGCATATTTGCTGGCACGCTTAGGCGCCGTTTGTGTACCGGTGGACAAGCGCATCCTACAGTGGCGACAAACAGATGTTCTGCTGGGAAGTTGGCAGAAACACGATATACCATTGTGAAACGCAGCTGGAGAAAAAGACGCCAAAATTAATCAATAAGATTAAGATGGAACGCAAATTTTCCGAGTTGACACCCAGCCGAAGAGCATTCTGTTGGCGGTCATGTGGGCGCTTGGGCTGCTACGGATATCCATGCACGCACAAGTACAGCAATGTTGGACCTCCGCTGCCATTTCGTGCCAAACAGATGTACTGGGAGACTGTTTCTACTTTGCGTCACCCAAAGGAAGAAAGATATGATCGATAAAGGAAATACCGAATCGCACAAATATTGCTCAGGAGAGTACAGAAGGAGCCATCTGCGTATCGCATCAAAGGCTGGTCTTTGACAGGGGAAAATGGAGTGGTGTTCATGACAACAGTGCAACTGTTTCATGTCCGCTCGTAACAATTTCGGAAGCGCCCTCTACAAATCCCCATAGAGGTCGCTCAATAAGTGAACTATAGGAAGGTCTTTGCAGAGGATGCTTGCATAGTATGCAAGGACCACGAGAAGATGCCATGGCTTGAATTACTGCCGCACGCATGTTTCGTCTCCCTTGAATGATGCCATGGCATAAAAATGCTGAGTCAGCATTGAAGATTTCTCACATAGTTTCAACAGTTCAGGGAATTTCAACAGACGACCTACTGTTATGCACCTCCAATCATGGTCCGATTCGCATGTGTGCATTATAAAGCGTAAGTCCATTTGCAGTAGTATAGGAAGCGGTGCACCGTGGTGCGAGTTCACAGATTTTGACACCCATACGATATATCGATATACGATATGGACATCAAACGCGCCATTACAGAGACAAACGGCTGACCGACTTGCAGAATTGGGCTTTATGATAAATAGATTGTTCTGCACAAACTGCTTCATTGCTAATGAACAATAATGCAACAGCAAATGTGTCTGGGTGAGCATTGCGTGGCTTGTGCATCATTTCCTTATTCCAGCGGTACATGTTATACGCACCAAAGCAACTTTGTTGCAATGTCACCATGCAAAGAATGCTAAATTCAAATTTGCAACAGAAACAGGTCAGAATGATAATGTTTTGCAACTACACAACATTGTGTGAGAATGCAACCAATGGCGTAGCAAAGTTTAGGAAAATGGCCCAGCCCTCATGCAGAGACGACCTCACGTACCAGAAGTGAACGCAGCAATCTCCGCAACCCGTATCCTAAAACATCCAAACAACCGTCCCCTCAGTGAATTATGCATTACCAGGAATACACAGCATGCCTACAATTGCCTCAAGGCCGTGGCATTACATGATCACCGTGGTGCACTGTTATGTGCTCACGAAGTCTTCACAGCACTGAATCCCAGCTTTGCGATTTCTATGTCAGGGATGTATCTGTCATTCCATAATTACGAGACATGATTGAAATACGAAGGACCCAAATTGTGGATGCAGAATGTACTAACCTTGCATGTCCCTCCCTTGCATGTGCCCTCCTTGCATGTCCCTCGCTCCGGTTTTTCCTGTGGAAATTGAACATTTTTGGATATACAAGATTCAAAACGCGGAGCACAGGCAGAGAGGAGTGTGAGGTGACATATAAAATCAATAATAGTATGTGAAAGGCAATTTCCATTTGATGAATTCGGCAACATCTGGTAATTCAAAAGCAGGCTTGTTTTTTAAGCCATAAAACTGACTTTATTTACGTTTTTAGGCGTAAAAACGTGTCAAATTACACAAATACTACGTAAATACAGTCCCACGTACATAAGGACAGTACAAACAGACTTGGGGAGTCCGGGGAGTGGCGGCCAGATGGCTAGAATTATTATAAAACGAACTTTTGTTGCATGCCGTCGCTGCCCTGGCGGAGGGCGAGGTGGACACTGTGTTGCAGGTGCTCGAGATCGCGAAGGCTTCATTATCGTATGCTGCTTTCATCATGTACTCTGGATGTCCCAAGGAGCCATGGGAACATAAATCACCGGTATTTTCAGGATCGTCATGCGCCATAAACACAGGTCGTATTTACGTTTCTACACGCAAAAGTAATTCTGAGTTTTCGCGCATACAAATTGCGCGAAAGTTCGTAAATACAAC